TATAGGGTTCATGGGGTTTATAAGGTTTATAGGGCTTATAGGGTTTATAGGTTTTAGAGGGTTTAGAGGGTTTAGCGTTCCCCAAGTCCAACACCCTGAAACCTGAACACACCCGAAACCCTAAACCTGCATGGATTTTGAGAGAAGGAGTAAGAGCAGCTGGGTTGGTCTCGGGCCACTTGAGGATGAGTTGAAAGATAATCATGATCGTTGCTGGAGTCTTCATGAGAAGAAGGTTGTCGAATGAAGTCTGTGCTGCTTCCACATTTGTCTTTCTTCAGGCTGTACGAAAGAAGAAGAACCCGGCCCATGTCAGACTTTTAGTTGCAGTGATTCGCCGATGATCCTTGCACTATTGCTGCTGTTTCCGTTGTGCTGTTGAGCCTTGTCCTTGCAGCTGTCGTCATCGTCATCGTTGTCGCTGTTACTTGTCATAGAAGCCTGCTCTATGTTACCTTCAGGCTTGTGGTCCTGGTGGTCCTTGCTCAGAATCACAAAGCTAAGCTTCAATCTCTGGCCTTTCCCTAGTTGGTTTGAGGCTCCATGGATCGAAAGACCAGGAAGGCACCACAGCTCAGCCAAAATCCCGAAACTTTCAGGCGAGACCTGCCGAATTTAAAGGTGCAAAGACCCTTAGGATTCCGTGTAGTTCTTGCATTAAAGTCCTCGGATCCTTACAGAGCCGTCCTTGTGCCCGGAGGTTCGAGTGAGCCAGCTCGATGGCGAGGCTGCAGCCATGAAGCTGCGAGTTGGGACCTCGGTGCAGGGTTTTGGGTTTCGGGTTTCGTGTTTCGGGTTTAGGGTTTAGGGCTAAGGAGTTTAGGGGTTTAGTGGTCTACGGTTTTGGGGGGTAGCTGCAGGCCGCAGGATTGAAGTAGGGGCCCTTTAAAGTTCAGGGTCGGGGGGTTCCAAGAGTTTGGGTCTCAGTAGGTTCAGGGTATTGAGGTCTGACCTACTTAGCGATGTTTCACACTGCAGAGTTTAGGATCTTTTTAAGAGAAACTTGCAAGTGCACTTGTCCCGCTTGTGAAATGTGCAAGTTTTGATCTCCGGTCTCTGTCATCGTTACACGGGCTGTTCCTGCTTCATTTATCGAGCGTTTTCATTTCGTATTGTTTTCGTGCACATTCGAATTTCGACCACGTAGGCCCTCGTGGCCCTGGCTCACAGTAACTTGCTGAGCATAAGATATCAGATGCTCCGTGCACTCTGTGGCAAGATAGCGGAGCTTTTTTTTGTTGGTAGAAGTCACGGTCAGCCGAGGCCCACCAGAACAGTTAGTCGCCAGAAGTTGCAATCTTCCGATGCCCCCGATGACCTGTTGACAGCTATTCCAACAGTGTCTCGGCATAAGGTGGCGGACCTGGAGGCGGAGCGCAATGATCAGGCACAGCAGTCTTTGCCGTGGAGATGTTTATCTGAGCTCTGTCTTTGAGAGCTGGTCTCCAGTAACGAGGTTTTCAGCAGTCTTTGGTACATTGAGCTTGCCATAGGCGGGCCTGTGGGTGTCGGGCTTCTTGCACCAAGCTTCAACAGAGCGCCGCGGTGCCAGTTCAGATTGTCGGGATTGGCAGAGAGGCCGCGGCCCTTCGCGCGACGCAGAGCCGCCTCCAAAGTTCGGCAAGGGCCCGAACCGGTGCGAGTTTCAGAAACCGGCGGCTCCTCAAATCCGCAATAAATGGCCCTAAAATGGTAGAACTATCCCTAAAATTCGGTCTTAGACAGCAGGATCATGACTATCAGGAGCCGGGTTTTCTCGGGATAGGCCTCCCCTTGCGGGCTGAATAACTGCTTGCTCCGAAGCTTCGGAGGAAGATGAGGATAGAGGGCAATTGCCGACAGTATTCCTTAGGGCTCCTTATCATAATTTTACTACTCGTATACCCCAAAACCCTATGTCAATTAAGGCGCCCATATTAGATGTTCTATGATATAGGGGCCTTCAGAAATAGAGTGGTGTTTCTATGAGGGTTTAGAGTTTGAGTCGGGTTTCTGCAAGGGTTTCTGCCAGGGCAGTTCTTTTTACGTTTTTCCTGATCGTAAGTAACGGTAACTTACGCTTGGGCCATGGCAGGCGTCTTGATTTTCCAGTCAGGGTTAGCTGCGCTGGCTCTGGCAAGCCCAAGAAACCTTGACTAATGGCCGGAGCTTGGATTCTTTAGCTAGGATTAACTGGACCGCCAGCCCAAGGAAAGCCTGCGCATGCCCTTGATCGTCGCCGTTTTGCAGCTTTTTAGCCGCCTTATCGCGCCGACGCCGACCCCTCGAAATACAGAAGAGGTCGAAGATCGCAGCTTGTTTTCATGAGGCATGCCTTTTGAGCTTGTATAAAAAACCAATCGTCACCTGCTGCTACCTGCTGTATTCTTGAGGAGCTGTCATGTGCAATGATACAGCAGTTCAGCAGAGCCGCCCAGCAAGGCCACGCAAGTCAGCCCAAACTTCAGCCAGAATGGCCCATGGCCAACATCCCTGGTAATCAATCCCAACAGCACAAGCCCCCTTACACCGGCCCTGCGCGGTCGGACATCGAAAACAAACTCCCAGAATAATATGGAAAGCTGATTCGCCATCAAAACATGACCTGGAAAAAACACTCCACGACCCGGTCCCGGTCCTGTCTAGTCCCGTCCGTGCCGTCCTTTTCCGTCCTGTTCCTTCCAGGTCCGTCCCGTCTCAGCATTGAAAGAGCTCTGCCGGACATCGGACCATCGAAATCTATCTTAGGCCCTAGGCTGTCATGGTAATCTTCGTGATGTCCGTAATATCCGCCCTAACTCGGACCTCAGCACGTTCCTGTGTGCTGCTTGCCAAGGAGATGGGGGAGCCTTTCAAGCTGAGTCGCGGCAGCAAGGGGAAGTGGAAGCATGGGCGGTGGCGTAGCTTTCGCTGGTCCCAGTAGGTTCCTTTGTTGAGGGGTATACCTTAAATTATAGTAGGATCCTTAATATGATTTAAGGAATATTCCTTGATGTAGGGATATTGGAGTCTCTGGGAACCCTCAACCCTCCTGTAAGACCAGGACTGTGGAGACGGGCTTTTACAAGCTAGTCGAGCAGCTCGTGGCCGAAAAGCTTCGCGCGAACAGCGGCTCGGACATACACAGCGGAGGTATCTGGGAGTTTCCGAATATTCAGGGATTTATGTTGGGATCCTTATAATAAGGATCCGACGATTTAGGGTACGAGACTAGGGTCCCCTAGTCTCGGAAACTCCCATCAAAGTGGTTTTGTGTGATGACTCGCTGACTTGCAGAAGCTGCTTTGATCGTTGCCGTTGTGTTCTCTTTGTGCCCACGATGGTGCTATGCGGTGATCTTAGAGCGTCGTTCGCAGGCCTGCACGAGACGTCTACATGCTCCCCAACCTCATCGTTCAGAAGCACCTCCAATTCGGAGCCTCGGCCCATGGAACTTGAGGCCTAGAGCTTGGGTACTGCCCCCACTCAGTAACAGTTGGATAATATGTCAAAAGTATGGTCTCTTTTTGGGTACCCTAAGTATTAGGTGCCGTACTATATTCGGGATCCAAAAAGGGACCATAATTTTGACAACCACCTGTATAGATACTTTTTAGGACCTTAGTAGTAGCCGTCTTATAAACTGTTACTGTATGGGGGGCAGTACCCAACCTAGAGCCACAAAGCCGGAAACCTGAGAGCCCACTGGAAGCCCAGTGGAAGAGTATCGTTTAGGGTTTGGGGTTTAGGGTTTAGGGTTTAGGATGAAGGTTTTCGGGTTTAGGGTTTAGGATTTAGGGTTTAGGGTTCTGTCCATGCAGGCAGCACTGGCAGTGCAGTGGTAAGCCCAGGATCTGGGTGAGGAACCGAAGACGACCTTGATGCCCGGCTTACTTCGGCAAGCATACGGCTTCGACGGATCACTGGAAAACGTGACTTGCAGTGAGTTTCGAAGACAGCTGAGGATGATCTGCGATCTCCCAGCCGATGCTTCGGCTGCAGTTGTGTTGTCCTCGTGATTGTCACCCCGGTCTTGTCCTGGGTGGCTGCCTGTTCTCTGATCTTCCCTCTCCTGCAACTGACTCCATTTATCGGTCTGTTTGATCTCCCTTCCGTGTTTCCTTTCTCTAGCTTTTTTGGGCGCTTCCCCTTGTAGTGGTTCTATCATTGGCCATGCTATGCTTCGCTCGATGCTCGTTTCCTGCCTGCCATTACTGGCCTGATGCTTGGTGTTATCTGGCCAGCGGTTTGTGTGTTCGGAAAAGGCAGGTTTCCGTCGGGAAGCTTGGAGCTAAGCACTTTGCGGGGCTTGTCGAGTGCCCGACGAGTCAGATGCCCGAAGCCTCCCTCTGTCTGGTGCTTAGTAGGGAGTGGGGGAATGGATCCCTCTAGTAGTCCTTACATAATGCCCAAGGAGTAGTCTCCATAATCCATGCCCCCGTTCCCTACTAAGAACCAGACAGTCCTCCTTCATAAGATGCCTTCAAGCGTATGCAGACCGATCCTGGTGAGGACAGCACAAGCCAGATGCTGAAAGACTTGCTGGACATCGCCGGTTTTAGCAGTTTCTATGACTTCGTACCCCGGCGACATTACTGAAGCTTGTAGTTGTAGCTCCTGAGGGGTAGCTGGTCCCAAGCATCGCCGGTGCCTCCTCTGACTCAGAAGGCACTCGTCAAGTTTGTGAAGTAGCTTGCCTATCTCGTTAGCAGGATCCGGGGAGATTCAGAAGTCTGCGCTTTCGGATTTGCACAGCCCTGTGCTTTATCTGTAGAACCCCGAAGAGTCAGTCTGCTCACTTGCCACCCTGAGCGCTTATTCGAACGCCTGCCAATTTCAACGCCTTCACCTCATCTTCATCCTTGGCCTCTAGCCCGTTTTGCTGAAGTCTCCACAAGGTGTACGTGCCTCTGCGGTTTCCAGACGGCAGTGCCACCTGTTTTGGCCGGGTAGCCCAGATCTTTCAGGTTCTGAGTAATCCCACGAAGACCATCTGAATGGCTCAAAGTCAAAGACTGCATGCGTCTCAGACTTCGTGAGTAATGCGTCGTTGCCCGCATCTTCCTTCGAAGGCTACGGCTTCGTGAACTGTGTCTCCCCGGATCACGCCGCGGACCGAGATAACAAAAGTCCACAAATGCCATTCCCTTGCATGTCCAAGGTCTGCTCTGCAGTGCATGACAGATGTAAGCAAGCTGTTGAGCGAAGTCCTCAAGGAACCGAGAAACACCCTAAACCCTAAACCCAAACCCTAACCCCCAAACCCTGAACCCCAAACCCCTAAACCCTAAACCCTAAACCCTAAACCCTAAACCCTAAACCCAAACCCTAACCCCCAAACCCTGAACCCAAAACCCCTAAACCCTAATTCGAAGGAGCAGGGGCTCCCACAAGGCCGAGGCGTAGGGTGTTCCTGGGCACGTGCTGTCAACTTAGCTGAGGCTGCCAAGCTTTGGCAGCTGCTTGGATGCGATGGTTTAGGGTCTAGGGTTTAGGGTCTAGGGTTTAGGGTTTAGGGTTTAGGGTTTCATCATGCTACCCATAAACGACGTGTAATTAGAGGGTTAAGGGTTTAGGGTTCATCGGAGCACTTATCGACTAAGTATAAGTATCGATTTAGGGTTTTAGGAATGAGGGTTTAGGGTTTAGGGTGTAATACTAACTAAAATTTGGACCTAAAGACTAAGTATAAGTATCCGTTGCATACAGAATTACTGTACTCGGTCGTATCACTAAACATACACTGACAGCTGCTGGCATGTGTAAAGGTATATTTATATGTAGGTATACATGCATACATACCTACATACATATAAATACATATATATATATATATATGTATATATATATATATGTATATATATATATATATATATATATATATATATATATATATATATATATATATATATATATATATATATATATATATATATATATATATACGTAGGCATATTAAGATATGAATACACGAAAATGTCAATATACGAGCATACGAATATGCGACTATGCGAATATACGAGTATACGGATATGTGAATTTGTGGCTGCGATGTCCTTGCCAGCACGGTCTCAGTGTCTCCATCACCTCCACCACCTTCACTACCTGCACCACCTTCACCACCGTCACCATCATCACCACCATCACCACCATCACCACCATCATCGCTTATCATCAATGTCGCCATCCGTTTCGCAATTTGCAGTGGTCTTCCTGCTGGAGAGCGGCGGTCCGGATGGTTTTGCTTGCACTTGAGAGGGCATAAGATACATGCCCGACAGAGGTGTCTGTCCTTCAGCAAATATTAAATCAGAAACAGTGTCAAGCCATCAGACATTAATCGTTTTAAACCAGCAATTGGCCATAGTGTTTTCATTGTGTTCGCCGTTGCTGTTGCCACTTGTTGTCTGGTTGCTGTTTTTGTTGTTGCCATGTTGATGCTGGTGGCGGTGGCTGCTGTGGTAGTCTGGGGTCTTGGCTGCTGCGGATGCCCTGAAGCTGAGTTACCTCGATGGATTTAGCGGCTTTGCCGGCAATGGATCGGCCATTACGCTCCGTTGGGCAGAGAAGACGCAGGCCCGTTGCCAGCTCGGGGGTGCTTTGCTCTACATGAGACTTTTACGTTTGCTGGGCAAGGGTTAGGGTTCAGGGTTTAGAAACTCCCATCTGAGCTTATTGGGGTGGAGTGGGGACTCTTAGTAATCTCAGGACTCAGGGCACAACGCGAGCAATGCATGCCGAGCCCCGGACGATCTCTTTGATGGAGATGGTTAATCTAGGGACCTTAATAAATAGAATAGGGTTTTGGGGGGTTCCTTAGTATACAACTAGTTTAATATGCCCCCCCAAACCCTATTCTAACTATTAAGGCCCCCACGTGAAGCACCATGCTGACTTGCATGAGCCTGGGCCTAGGGCTCGTGGATAGCACGAAGCAGGCATTTCACCTGGTCCCTGTTACTCAAGTGAATTGAGTCTTTACAGCCCAAGGTGTGGCACCTTCCGTAACCTCCTCGAACTTGGTTTCATGTCAAGCAGTATGGAGAGTGCTTCAGCTTCGGTTTCATGGCTGGAGGTTTCAGACCTAAACATGTAGCTTCCGAGAGATCATAGCGCAGATGGACTGACCGTCTGAGCCCTCTTAAGTGCTCGATCTCGAATTTCAACCACTTCTGAGTCTGACGAAGTCAAAGCGGAGCCCCTTGAGTCAAGCTTCCTCCTCCCCAAGCCTTAAACAACCAAGCCCTGACAGCTCAAACTGCAAGCTTCTCCCTCACAGGGCAAAGAGAGTTTGGTCAACACGTACCGCAACTGCCGCATGACTGCAGAGGGGCGGCAATTTCTCGGTCTTGCATTGTCGCACGCTGAGCTTGAGATCGAGTGCCAGAACCTGCACGTCAATGTGCCTGCGCAACCTCTCCACAACCCTTGCAGAAGTGGAGTAGTTTCCATACAACTTGCCGAACTTTTCGGTGTCCGGAGCCTAAACCCATAATCCCAAACTTCCCTAAACCCGAAACCCTGGAACCTGAAACCCGAAACCCTGGTACCTGAAACCCGAAACCCTGGAACCTGAAACCCTGAAACCCTCAACCTGAAACCCTGAAACACGGGATGTCCGATGATGCCAAGCCCAAGGCTCAGTCATGCACAGATCGGTTCCCCACCTTTGCAAGCCGATTTTGTTCCAGGACTCTGTCAGTACCCCTTAGCCGTTTTGGGCTTGAGGGTTCAGGGTTTGGGGTGTTTAGGGTGTTTAGGGTTTTTAGGGTGTTCAGGGTTTAGGGTGTTGGTTGTGGGGGTTTAGGGATGGCTGCTATCATGGCTTTTCATCGGGTTTAGCCGCTTCGTCCAGTGGTTGCTTACTCACGTGCTTCGAGCTCTGTTCGTGTTTTCATTTCGTTTCTGTTTCCGCACGATTCTCGTTTGATGTATCCAGATATCTATCTGTCAATGTGTCTTTCTGTGTACTATCTGTCCGTGTATCTTCCAATCTTCCTTGCTATCTCCCTACCTATCTACCTGCCTACCTACTTACCTACCTATGCACCTGTCTGTTTATCTCTCTATCTCACTATCTCCCCATCTCTCTAGCTCACTCTAGCTCGCTATCTCTGTATCTCTCTGTCTGTCTATCACTCTATCTCTGTAACTTTGTCTCATCTCTCTATCTCCCTATCTCCCCATCTCCTTACCTCTCTGTCTCTCTATCTCTCCATCTCGTCATCTTTCTCCATCTCTCTAGCTCTCTAGCTCCACCTCTTGCCTTCTGTCTGCGTCCGCTTGATATCACATTCCTGCGTGCTGCCCCAAAGCCTGATGCAGCCCCTAGACCCCCCCAGGCTTATAAACCCTAAACCCTAAACCCTAGACCCTAAACCCTAAACCAAAACCCTAAACCCTAAACCCTTAGGGTTTCGGGCTTATACACCCAGCCGAAGGACGGAGTCGAGGTGCCATTCCCACGGCCCACGAAGAAACTGGAGAAGCCCAGGCCCGCGTGTTTAGGGGTTTCGGGGCTTAAGGCCGTGGACTTCAGGGGTGCAGTGAACTGGCTGAGGCAACAGAGAAGTTTGAGGCCCGTTTAGGGATCGGGGGCTTTTCGGTTCAAGGATCTTGGGGTGGCTTGAGAATATGCTGCCCGGTGGGGGGGGGGAGGGGGAGGAGGGGGTATTTGGGAGTTCAAAGCGATCAGCTCACGATACGGCTTTTGGGGTTTATAGGATCGACTTTTCAGTCGAACGCAGAACTTGTCTCCGCGACGCACAGCCGTGGGGGTTTCGGGGTGTGTCCGAGAATCAGTTCTTGGATTTCATTTATGGGTTCGGTTCAGTCTTATTTAAAGAGCAATTTATTTTTTCGGTTTTTGTGTTTCTTCAGACTGCGGGATGGCTCAAGCATCTGTTTCTGCCAACTCTGATGGGACTTTCCGAAAATTGCGGGTACCCTATTCTGGGGGCTTATAGTAAGGATCCTACTATTTAGGGTATTTTTTTAGGGTCCCCTTTTTTTCGGAAACTCCCTCATTGTTATGCACACAGGACGGCCTAGTTTTTGAACCCAGAGCTCGGGTCGAGGGGAACTCCCCGTAGAATCTAAGCACAACTGAACTATGCTGGGGTTGGGGTTGAAGAGTTTTGGAACACTACCATACTAAACGCGTACTAGAAGCAGTTTAGGGTTTATGTAGGCTTTAGGGTTTAGGACTAAGCGCGTGCTAGAACCCCTAACTAGAAGCCCACAGACCAGGCTGCGCAACCGACGGGCCAAGATGCCCGGGGCCGGCAACGACATGGGGGATGCCTAAGTTGAAAGACGAACGGGGGGTGGCTTCGAGGAAGGATCATAGTCTCGATAGCTTAGGGTCCAGGGTTCAGGTTTAGCGGTGGCTCCACGGTTTCAGGCCAAGTGCAAGATTGAGACGTAGGTTCTGATGCCCGAGGAAGAAGTGTTTTTTGTGCGGCGAGTTTCTGCGCCTCTAAGTACCTGCCTGCATCTGATAAACTGCTGAAGCCCCTTCCAGCAGCCTTTCAAGTAGTGCCTCCTATGTTGAAAATTGTTTTCCAGTGCGCTTCCCTTAGAAGCGCCCGGCCCAATATAGGGGCCTTATAGATCCTTTATGGTGTAACCCTCAAAAGGAACCCTGTTCCATTTATTAAGGCCCCTATAGTAACCCTTACAGGAACACTGCTGTAATTATTAAGGCCCCTATAGTAAGCATCCGAGAGACGCATCTTTGATCCTCGGGTCTGAACCAGGGGATCCGAGAGACGTCTCTGCGAGGCAGCCTCGTCAGACTGCTGTCACTGCCAGATTGCTACAGTTAGAAGTACAATCCACTGATCTTATTCTATTACTATGTGTTATAAGTATGTTTAGTGATCTCGTTCTGTTACTATGTGTTGGAGGATAGTATATACAATATATGTGAAGCTAATTGTTTAAGCAATCTGGCGGCTGGCTGCCAGTGTCCGATACGTGCGCAGTTATGAGCCCCGAAGCCAGGACCGATGCATCATGCATTCCTGAAAGCCGTTTACAC